CCGCCCCGCTGCCTTGCGGGTCAGGCTTTGGTTAGCCGAAGGCTCCGGTTGTGAATTCCTCAAGAAAATTCACCCACCTTGGCCTGGGCAACCTGGCAGTATTCAGCCCACAAGCCAATCATGGAACATTTTTTCTTTTTATAAAGATTATTGTACCATGATTTGCTTGGCACAAGGTCTGTCTTCAGACAAGTGTGAAATATAATTACCTTCGAAAGAGGAGATCCGCATGAGAATTCAGTCTTTTAAAAGACAGAGCAAAGCGAAGTAATCATCATATTTCATAATTATAGAATTCAATTTTCATTATCTGAGTGGCAGGCAGCCCTATCCATCTTCTACTAGTCTGGCTCAATATCATAACCATTTAAACCTTATTTAGTTTGCAATGCCAGGTCCCAGGGCCTAAGCAGCCCGTTTTCATAGCTGAGTAGTAGATACTCATAACTCTGCACTTCATCTCTGGCATTGTTCATCACAGGCGCATGAGAAAAAACGGCTCACAGTGATTGTGCATACAACAAGGGTGTACGCTTAATCCCAGTAGCGTTTGAGCTTCTGGCTCTTGGCCTACACCACAGATTATTCAAAATGCATGAAGAGTCAAGTCGTGAGGGACAGGGTGGGATTCGCGATGACCTATTTGTCGAATAATCAACCTCCAACTCTGATAGGAAAAAATTATGGGTTATAAAGATCTATCAACATGCTTCTTGACTTCTGAGCAGCGTTTAACTTCGTCAAAAAGGTTCAAGTGTTAGCATTACGCATTGATGGGCAAAAAACCCGAGTAGTACATTTCAATTTGAAAAGCACTTCATCAGCATACAACAAGTCTGAATGATACGGTCATTTTCTTGTCAACATTTCCCTCACCTAGTAGAGTCCAACAGGGCGGACCTGTACCGTCAATCTTCAATGTCGTCATAGATGGTACTCTCCCTTACATTGTCTGGTTGAATTCTCTGTAGCGTAGGACTCAGTGCAGGAAGGACTTAACCACTAGAGGCATCTTGACACTATTGCCTTCTTCGGTCAGTGTGCAAAGAAAACAAACCATGGGAAACCGCTAGGTGACTGAGATATCTTGATACGGAAACGAGATAACATAGTGCACACCAAAAACTGTGGGTTTTTTCAACTTAAAAAATAATGCACCCTTAACAAAAAGGACAGCACGACCGGTGAAGTATGAAATTATTCATCGTTTATGTAGTCAATAGAGTTTGACGAGCGGGTACTGGTAGGGTGTCCAGCCACTTAAGAGGAGAATGATTAGGGTTCTCATCCAAAGCCACTAGTTCTAACAACAACCTATCCACAAAGCGGTGGATAAAACGAAGCGGAAGCCCATTTACTTGAATCGATTATTCCTCTCATATTTTATCGACGGAGACGTCAATCCGGGTCGAACCCGCAAAATGGAGGGTCAGGAGGTTCATCTTTGTCTAAGGCCTACTCGCTTACCTTTGGCTTGATAAAAAGACATTAAGTAATCAAGTGGATCATAGATGGTCACAATCCATTTGCCGTCGTCAACGTGCGCTCTCTTCGTGATACGTACTTTCGTGGCAGATCTTTGGTAAGGTGAAACGCACTGTGTTGATTGTAAGAGCAGTGTGCAAGAGCCACTCGATTTTAGACAGTTAAGTAAATCTGAAAATAATTCCATTATCTTCATTTGATAGCTGTCAGAACTACATCTGTTAGTTTCCAACTCTATTGGCTCATCTGAAAAATATTTCCAATCCCATTGGTCGACAAACCTACAACAGCGATATATATATATATATATATATATATATATATATATATATATATATATANTATATATGTGTGTGTGTGTTTGCTACACAATCAGTTCACTCAAGAAATATATTACAGTCAAACGCGACTCGATATTCTGTTGAGAACGGCTTGACCTCACTATATGGCTCAGTGGTCAAACCAATGAAGAAGTTTGACTAAGCCTTGATGGTGCTAGAAGGGCGTTTTCACGGTTGAAGTATCCGCTGACGCAGAAATGAAATCAAGCTAAAACCAAACTGTGAATATTATTTGAAGTGGTCCACCGTGTCTTGACGTCTGTGAAACTTAGTTATGAAGAGTTGAAGATTGTCAACGATCGGAAACATTCGGTCACTGATACCTCAGAACCAAATTCAGACGGTCCAATGAACGAAGTAGTCAGGAACTAATTTTAATACAACAGCTTGGAACGCTTTTATAACTGGGATGTTCACAGCAATTTTGGCTTGTTCTATGCAAACCTGATAATGATTTCACTTCAGCCGCCCTAGTACCACTTTTCTGTCTGAAATGGCGAGCTAACCTTGGTCTACAGCTGAAAACATAGAAACCGTACAGGAAGACTCAGAACATCTTTGAGGATTGTATGACACTAGTTGCTAGAAGACAGGCTGCATAGCACTATGCGCAGAGCTTACTGAAGCCGCCGAGCAAGGGTAACACAAGTCGGGGTAACAGTTTTCGTAAAGCGGAGTAGTAGTACAGGGAGAGGTAATATAATAACACGAGAACATTTCCATAAACTAACTTTATCCAGTTTGTCAACTGCCGAACAGGTTGCCGTGAATTTTTCGGCTGGAACGTTACACGCTTTGAACAAACCGTCCAAAAGACGGCGATGGTTGATCTTGATGACGAAATCGCCCAAAGCCAACTCCGACAGGATTTCATATATTATACGTATGCATTCGACATCAGCGAGCATCGGACCATAATCTCCAGCGATGTCGAAATCCTATATGTTTGGAGAGAGAGAGAGAGAGGGAGAGAAAGGCAAGCAGAGGATGGAGTGAAAATTGAATGATTCTTCTTTAGTATACGACCACAGAAAGTTATAAAATCTGACTGACCAAAAATCCCTAGACGGTAATATTAGACCCTAATCATTTAATTATGATGCTCACTCTAATGGGGAAGATAAAGCAGCCAATCCAATGCAAAAGATCAAAGATGGACCTTGGTTGAATCATCATTAATAGGAAGAGCTCGCACATAGTTCATTCGCAATATGCCGTAGAAGTATGCGAATATACTGAGTTCACTCTACTCACATACCTCTGGTAGCGTAAGGATCGACGGCGAGCTGAGCAGATCGTTCGTAATTAGCAGTGGTGTTCGTCAAGGGTGCCGTCTTTCGCCATTCCTGTTCAATTTCGTCATAGACGAAATACTGGAGAACGCACAAAGTGGTCTCCAAAATGTGGGTACTGAATGGGCAGCTGGTGAAAAGCTGCGCGATTTGGAGTACGCTGATGATATCGTTTGATTGAGCGAATGTATGGAGGACGCGCAAAGCGCACTTGATAGATTAACAAGTTCTGTCACTCCGTTCGGCATGTGCTTTTCTCCTTCAAAATGCAAAGTGATGCTACAAGACTGGGTGCCACCGAGTTCTGTTCTGAAACTAGACGGTCAGGAATTAGCTGAAGTTGACTGCTTCCCGTACTCAGGTAGCTGCGTGACCATGACGGTAGCGCATCGAAGGAGATAACCGCACGGATTTCCAAGGCTCGAGCTGCGTACGCAGGACTATAACACCTGTGGCGGCGACGTGACGTGTCACTTAAGTTGAAAAGTCGCGTATACTGCGCCACTGTACGATCAGTTCTGCTTTACGGTTGTGAGACCTTGAATTTGCGGATAGAAGACACCCGTCGTTTAGCAGTGTTCGACAATCGATGCTCACGTAGTCTGGCCCAAGTGGGATGGAGTGAGCGGGTTAGTAACTTAAAAGTAAGTCGTCGGATGTTTGGAAATACATCAGACAACAACTCGCTATCTCATCGAATCCAGCTCAGTGGGCTGCGTTGGTTAGGACAAGTTTGGCGTATGTCCGACGGTCGCCTACCGCAGCGCGCCTTGTTTGCAGTGGCTGTTACAGGCTGGAGAAAGCCACGTGGAGATCAGCAGATGACGATGCATAAAGAAATGCACAGAGCGATTAGGTAGAGTAGGTGTCTCTCGTCTTCCCGGTTGGGGTCCAAAAGACTCCGAAACCGCATGGTTGGAGACACTGAAGGTCATGGCTGCAAACCGACAGCAATGGCGATCATGCTGTCACTACTTATCAGTCCAGAATGCTTGAACTAGTATGTATGCACAGTTGGGCTGTTTACTCTGTGTTGACCATAGAGGTTCGTTTTCTTTTCCCGTCCCTAAAATTAGTCCCAATCCCTATCCTCCTTACACATTCTCATTTATCTTGTATGCATTGAGTTTGGCAGCGATCATTGAAGTTGGCTTCACTGTATTACGCTGTACAACGATGATGATGACAATCTGCACTATGCAGTAGAGTCATCGCAGCTGCTGGACAATCTTGTTTGGTTCATAGAACCACTGACATTGCATTTTCGCTCGATGACTCGGTTTGATGGATGAGATGGAGTGAACAGCGGTACCATGGTACAGATAAAGAGTGCAGTTAAACTCAATTTTTGAAACAATCGAAAAAACACGAACGACGCTCAGCATACCACTGTCGCCAACCATCGAGCTTGATGCCCCCAACTCGCGATTACCTAAAACTCTATGCCTAACGTCAGCATTGCTCATCCGGTTTCCCCACCAGACTCGTGCAATACTGTGTAGACAGCTGTGTTCGAACACCGACAGTCTATTTTTATCATGTTCCCGTAATGGCCAAGTCTCTGAGCCCTAAAGCAGAACTGGCCGAACTGCTGCAGCATATACTCGGCCTTCACAGATAACCGGATGTCGCGACGGCGCCACAGATGTCTCAAGTTGGCAAATGCCAACCGAGCTTCCTGTATACTCGCCTACACTTCATTTGTGATGCGTCCGCCAGGTGAGACATAGCTGCTCAGATAGCAAAACTTGTCTACTTTCTCTAAAACTTCCCGGTCAGTGTGAGGCTGAGGATTGGGCCAACCCAACCTTGGAGCAGCATTTTACACTCTGAAGGTGTAAAACGCATACCGAACTTGGACACACTAGCACTGAAACTATCCAGAAAAGCATACAACTTACCTGAATCTTCACTTAGTAGCGCAATGTCGTCTGCATATACTAGATCAGACAGTCTGCCACCTGGGAGTAAATCGATGCCGTTATCCCTGCACGAGGGCTGTTTCAAGAATCAAATCTATAAGTTAAATAGAAATCGAGAGAGAGGGTAACCCTGACCAACACCACTTTCCGTGGTGAACTCGGGTGAAAAAGTGGCGTAAACTCGGACTCGGCTTCGAATATTATTATGGAGGGATTGCAATATTGAAATAAACTTCTCGGGCACACTCTTGAGAGAAAGGCAGCTCTGGAGTTTAGAGTGGTTGAAAGCCGCTTTCAGGTCGACGAAGATAGAAGTGGGTCTACGAAAAGTGTGTTCCAGGATTTGACGAAGAGTAAAGATGTGGTTGATACAACCTCGACCAGGTTTAAGACCAGCCTGGTTCTCACGTGTGCACTCTTCACGAGCGGCAGACAATCGACGGAGTATGATCCCGGTGATAAGTTTAGAGACAATGTTAATTAAACTAATTCCTCTGTGGTTTTCACAAGAGGACCTGTCGCCCTTCTTGTAAACCGGTATGATCATCGATTCACACGATTCAGTTGGAACCTGTTCCTTTTCCCACACTGAACTCAGGAGTTTTGTAAACTCCAAAACCAAGGCTAGACCTTCACCCCTAAAAACCGATGGGGACAGCCCTAGGGGACTGGAAGCCTTAAACCTTTTGAGATAGCTTATTTCTCGGGTAACCTCTATCTCAGATGGAGGACTGATGTCAACTGGCAGTATTTGCACAGTTGAATCGGATGTAGGGAGGTCTTGTGCTGACGAGGGTCAGCTGAACTGAGCCTTAATATGTTCTGCCCATCGATCTAGACTGCGTTGCTGAATATGGATCAGTGTGTCGTCCGATTCCTTAATTACCTCACTTATGCCTGTTTTCCTTGGACCTGTACTCGTAATTAATCGGAAAAGATTGAGACTATTACCGATAGTCGCAGCCTTCGCCATCTCTCTACACTTTCCTACCCACCACTTCTCGCGGTCATTCCTCAGACTCTTGATGAGCTGGCGTTTAAGGGATTTGCGCTCCTTGTCGTCGTTTGAATCTGAAATGGCTTTGCGAGCGTCCCGCAGAGCAACCGAAGTTGGGGAGATCCATCGTTTTTATTTGATCATGAGTCAGAATTTGCTGTTGTTTCGATTGGCATTTTAATCGCTTTCTTGATTGCCGTCCAGTGCTCACCGAGTCCTCCGGCTGATGGTTGTACTGAGAGACGATCTGATAGTTCCGCCTCGAAGGCCGATTTGCAACTATTGCTGACATTGTATCTTGGGCATCCGTTTTCGGTGGCTTTTCT